CTAAGCACCCTACAAACAACCACACTCAATCCTGCACAAGCACCACAACTTCCAAAAACTATAAAATGACCCCTAAACTATGAATTTTCTGTTAGAGTAGATGCCCTAGAGCCAATCAATTATTGTAGAATTGACTCTTTGTAATAATGTTCATTAATCAATAAAAGGCATTTTATTCTATATCGCGTAAATCATTATTATTGTAATATGTATTGATATATGTCCTTAGAATGGTAGAACTGTGACGAGGGTATCAAGTGTTTCAAATCTTGATAGTGAGAACCCTATGAGCACATATGGTGGCCATTCTAGAAACGTCCGTAGCCCCAATATTATTCTGAAGTAAAGGCATAGATAATATGGTAAGGCTATCATAGTGTTGAATGACTATGTCGAAAGGCAGTGACTGATCTCACTTGTAAAGGTTGTTTGGTGACAACTGGTACAACACATGGGTGCTTGCTGTAGGCGGATATACCGCAGCAAGTTCACTGGATTGACCCACTAGAGGATTCCATATGGATGGTAACCCCAGTGTCTATGGAACAAATCCTCTAACGAATGGTGGTGCATGTGATCCTTAGACTTGAGATCATCGGAGCTCCTTGTGCACCGATTGGTGTAGTTTGACACTAGCCTAACGCAGTTCTTTTTAAAGTTGTTACGGTGGTAATTGACTGCATCAAGGAGTGTATCAAGACTATGGTGGATTGACAAAGGATTCATCACTCCCGGGTACGGGAAAAGTTATCTCACAGCGCAATTCAGTATATGGCAATGACACTAAAACTGTGGCCACAGTGGGATTGAGTTGTTGCTCTATCCGGTTTATAATACAGGTCATTGGTCCAAAAACTGAATACATAATATCGAAAGTAACCGAAGGTTGACACTATTTCTATGCCTTCGTCTCGTTGAGATAACGAATGATGAAAGGATCGAATTGTACGGTAACCATATCGTTGACATGTAGCTACTTTGCTGAATCCGAATCTATCGGGTGGCCATGATGCCTTGCTAGGGGCCAATCTTGGTCTGTGTATTAGTGAGATGATTAATTGGTGTTAATCGCGATACTATACACTGCCGATATGATGAGGAGCCTATGGGTCACACACATAGAAGATAATTTAAGAGCCAAGAAGAAAGAAGGGCGTTTTCGTCTTTTTAGGCGAAAGGGTATTTTGGTAATTTCACAGTGCAATTAAATTTGCTGAGGTCGTAGCCTTTTTTTAATTTGTTAGAAAAATTAAATAAGTGAAATTACGTTTAAATGTGTGTTCGCACATATTTAATTAAATCATCATTATTGTTAAATGTTAATTAAATATTAATTGATTTTAATTGAGGTAATGATGAATTAAATTAAAATATCTAATTGGGAGTGTTTGGCAACATGGGGTGTTTGGGTTGGAGCCCAAGCCCATTCCATATGGGAATAGGGCAACTAAGTTTGCCTATAAAAGGAAAGGTGTTTGTGTGATTTGTTAATAATTAAATTTTGCCCTTTTGAAAGAAAAGAAAAAACACACAACACATACACACTCTCCCACGCCACTTTCACTATTTGATTGAAAAATCAAATATTTCTCTTTTCTTCTTCTTGATTTCTTAAGGCCAAGGAGGATCTAGCAAATCCCTCCTTGGTTCCTTGCGATTGTCTTCGTATGGACTTCTACGGTTCGATCCTACACTTGGATCAATAGCAAACACGTTTAGAGACAATATTGGTGGAGCCTCCAACGTGGGTATGAATCTAAACTTTAGATTTATTTTCTGTAGATGCTTGTTGAAATATATAAACTGTAATTTTTCTGTGCCCTGATTTTGGGTTCTAAGGAACAATCCATGGTTGTAAAAAATTTGTTTTCTGCTACATAACCGGGTCGTTTCCTAACATTTTCCACAATCAACCAAACACTCCAAAAATCAACACCCAAACTCCCAATAGTACACAATTCAAGATCCACACTTCCGTAATCACAAGCAAAACAAAAACTTCACAAAAATCCCAAAACTTAACTTCAACAATCAAAATTTTCAGATCCACACTCAAAACTCGCAATTGTGTAATTCAAAGTTAGAAGGGCTTGAAATCTTACCAATCCCAAGAAGCTTTCACCACCAATTTCTCATATTTCAATCCAAATCGCAAGATCCCCAATTTTTGCAAACCATGGGTTTCCAAAATTTTTCGCAATTTTTCGCAAAAGATCCTCGCTGAAATGAGTTGATTTTGTGTTTGGGATGGTTTAGGAGTTAGAGCAAGTGATGGAAATTCACTGGACAGGCTCAAGATTGAAGGTGGAAAGATTTTCTCTCGAATGTGTTTGAAGGTTTGTGTGAAAAATGAAGAAAAGAAAGTGGGTATTTATAAAAAGCAGACTTCGCAGCAATGACGCTTCTTCTTCGCCACGGCGAAGTTCATCAATCGAATTCTAGGGTTTTTAAAACCCAGTCAATACCACGACGAAGACAAATTCTTCCCCGTGGCAAAAAAATACAGTACCTATGTAATAGCTGCTTTCTACTCATATACGGATAAAAGATATATAATGAAAACACATGGAAAATAACATAAATAGTTGGGCCCAAATTTCCTTTCATTAAACATATATATGTATATAGATATTCTTAACACAAAAATTGTATCATGTACAAAAGTGATCAAAAACATGGTGGACAGTGTAGCCATTTCCCTTCGCTTGCCGACGCCCATCCGACCGTGTCCTCACCTAGATCTTGTAAAACATAGGAAACAACGGGGTGAGCACTAAAACAATGCTCAGTAAGTAAATCTTCCACTCATCTAACCCCGTAACTCTCTCTAATTCTTTCCTTACAATTCTCATTTACTCTTTCTCTTATACTTCTCCCTATTTTCTCTTTCTCATAACTCCTTTCTACTAACTCTCTTTAGTAAGTCATGGCCTCATCTTACCAGAGGCACGGCCGGGACTCGCTCTCGCTCTACATGACTTCTACTCATTCTTAGCCGATCGGACTTGGTTATGCATGGATTCGGAACCCTTGGCCATGTGAGTATATCATCTCTCTCTCGGGTACTCTCAGGTATAGCCCTCATCTGCATGCACTCTCACGGGCTACACCACTTCTCTCTCTCATACTCATGCCGCTCTCTCAATGCGGCATACATGCAGGAATACTCTACCCATTACTCACGGGTTCCCCATCGCACAACCTACTCTATGCTCTTTCTCTCTTTCATTCTCTAATGCTCAAACTCTCTTTCTCTTTACTAAAGCTGACACTCAAAATTCTCTATTCTTTTTCTACTCTTTCTCTAATGCAGAATTAATGCATATGGATGACTCATGCTCATTAATGCACTAATGAAATGCAATTATGCTATGTAGTAATAATTAAGGCTTTCTACTCTTACTTATGCTTCTCTTAAGCATTTCATCATACAACTTGTTTGCATATATAAAACTCTATGTTAACAATAACTCTTCTCTTCTCTTGAACCTTCCTAATATGGGAGAAAACACCCTCATAAACTCTAATTTCCTGTCAATGAAACAAACACTTCTATAGGGTTTACTCAAACTCCCTTCACGTCAATCAAACTCAACTCAACACCATAAAATCTCAACACTCCTCATATTCCAATACATTCAATACTCATTAATAATCTCATCTCATCTCAATTTCTCAATGAACATAAGATATACACATACATACATAAATCTCTACTCAAAAGAGTTCTTAAATCTCCCCTTGGGTTGGATTTACTTACCTTGTGAAAAAGTGACTTCTCTAGTACTTTTCCTTTCCCTTGTTGTCTTGTCTTCTCTCTACAACAACTCAAAACAACAACAAGAACCATAACAACCATAGAAGACTTCAATATAACTATAAGCAAACTCACATCCAAAGCAAGAATCATTACCTTAGGATGCTTTAGATGAACTCTCTACTCAAAATTACTCAAAAGCTCTCTTAAACCCCTTAGAAATCTTGGGAAAATTGAAAGGAAACTTGAGAGAATTAGAGAATGGTTATGGCAGTGGAACTGAATGAAATGGAGGGTTTATTTCACTTAACCCTTTTTTAGCTCATAAGATAACCATCACTTCCCAACTTTGCCCTTGCTCTTCCTTGAAAATTCCATCTATCTCTTTTGATTCATTTCACTCACACCCCCACACTAACCTATTCTCCATAAAATTTTCTTACATTTTACTCCCCATTTTTCCTGCTAATTAGGGGTAAAATGGTCATTGTGTCCCAAAGGAAGAATTCTCTAGAAACTCAATACACTTTTTGTCAAGCCCTTCGCCGTGGCGAAGAATCTTTCTTCACCCCGGCAAAAAATTACCGAACCTACACCGTAGGTTGCAGGGCTTCATCGCCGCGGCGAAGCTTCTTCTTCGCCCCAGCGAAGTCTGTAACACAAAAACTTTGCCAAGTTTTACAAATTTCAGGGCAACCACTCAACCAACTCCCAATATCTATTCAACCAGGGCCAACTAAATATTATTACCACTAAACAAACTCAATTAAAGCAGAATCAATGAATATTTAAGCAATACAGCAAATCTTAACTACATATCTCAAGTGGGCGTTACAACCTACCACGCCGCGACCAAGAACAATATTTGCCACGACGAAGTTTCCTTAGTAAAAATTCACGCCACTTGCTTCGTCGGAAAAATACAGGAGATACTTCGCCTCGGTGAAGAACAATCATCGCCGCAGCGAAGTCTGGGACTTTTCCACTTCCAATTTTTGTTAAATGTTCCTCGCCACGGCGAAGAAACTCCTTTGCCTTGGCGAAGTGTGGAACATTTTTCTTTTTTCGCCTTAGTTCGAAACTTCACCTGAAACACCCAAAAGTGCACAAATTAAACTTCCTCTAAAATCAAAAGATAACAAAACAAATGCAAAGCAATAAACAATATAATCAATTAAAAACACTTGGGTTGCCTCCCAAGGAGCGCTTGTTTATAGTCGGAAAGCTCGACTCTCTCAAGTTCTTATGTCGGGATGTCAAGGCGGATAGCAACTGACTTGCAACTGATCACGCCATCAATGTACGGCTTCAATCTCTGTCCGTTGACCTTAAATGTGCCCTTCTCTTCATGGGACACCTCTACCGATCCGTATGGGTAAACCTTTGTAACTATGAAGGATCCGGACCATCTAGACTTAAGTTTTCCAGGGAAAAGTCTAAGTCTAGAATTAAACAATAACACTTTCTGCCCCACTTCAAAGTTCTTCTTCCTAATATGCTTATCAAGCCACTTCTTGGTTTTTTCCTTGTACATCCTAGCATTCTCATAACTTCATGACGAAACTCATCAAGTTGGTTCAAAGTCAACATCCGTTCCTCCCCAGCAGCTCTTAAGTCCATGTTTAACTGTTTGACTACCCAGTATGCCTTATGCTCGAGCTCTACTAGCAGGTGACATGCCTTCGCATTGACCATCCTAAATGGAGACATACCAATCGGAGTCTTAAATGCAGTGCAGTAAGCCCACAATGCATCATCCAACTTCCGTGACCAATCCTTCCGCAATGCATTGACTGTCTTTTCCAAGATTCCTTTCAATTCTCTATTTGACAGTTCCACTTGTCCACTGGCCACGTATTTCCCCAACAGTGCATCCAATTGCCTGTTGCAAAATGTGATCCTCCATCGCTGATTATTGCTCATGGTACCCCAAACCTCAAGAAAATGTTTTTTTCTCACAAAATTAACCACCACTCGGGCATCATTAATGGCAATGCAACTGCTTCCCCCTATTTTGATATGTAGTCCACCACTACCAAAATGTACGTATTCCCATAAGAATTTGGGAAAGGACCTATGAAATCAATTTCTCATACGTCTAAAAGCTCAACAACTAAGATATTGTTCAGTGGCATCTCATCCCGCTTTGAAATATTCCCACTCCGTTGACACTGGTCGCATTCCTGAACCATTCGGAAGGAATCCTTGAAAAGGGTTGGCCAATAGAACCCAGACTGCAGAACCTTGTATGTTGTCCTAGCTCTTCCAAAATTACCACCCACTTCCCTTTTGTGACAATGTTGTAAGATACTTTCCACTTCCTCTTCCGGAATACACCTCCGTATCATTTGATCAGCACAGTGTTTATAAAAAAATGGTTCTTCCCAAAAGTAATACTTCAAATCAGAGAAAAACGTCATCTTTTGTTGGAATGTCATGCCTATTGGGAGCACTCTCGACGACAGGTAATTCGCAAAATCTGCATACCATGGTACCTCTTCCACTCTCATTAATTTCTCATCTGGAAACATTTCTTTGATTTGGGTTTCCTCTTCATTTCCCTAAATTGGTCATTCAATCCTTGACAAATGATTCGCTACCATATTTTTCAACTCCTTCTTATCTCGTATCTCCAACTCAAACTCTTGTAGCAATAGGATCCATCTTATCAGCCTCGGTTTCGCTTCTTGCTTTGCCAATAAGTGCTTAAGTGTTGAATGGTCTATGAAGACTATCACCTTGGCACCTTGCAAATATAAACGAAATTTATCAAAAGCAAAAACCACAGCCAACAATTCTTTTTCAGTGGTGGTGTAATTCAATTGTGCATCAGCAAGCATTTTACTAACATACTGAATTACATGCAACACTTTTATTTTTTCTTTGTCCTAACACTACTCCTAGTGCAAAATCACTAGCATCACACATCAATTCAAATGGTAGTTCCCAATCGGGAACTGCAATAATAGCTGCAGATACAAGTAATTTCTTTAGAGTTTGAAAGGCATGCATGCATTCATCATTAAAATCAAAAGCAACATCTTTAATCAATAAATTACAAAGGGGTTTAGAGATCTTAGAAAAATCCTTGATAAACCGACTGTAAAACCCCGCATGCCCCAAGAAACTTCGAACTGCTTTAACATTTGAGGGTGGTGGTAGCTTCTCAATCACATCCGTCTTTGCTCGATCCACTTCTATTCTGTCTTTTGAGATTCTATGACCAAGCACTATCCCTTCCTGGACCATGAAGTGGCACTTTTCCCAATTGAGCACCAAGTTCGTCTCCTGACATTGCTGCAAAACAAACAAAAGATTAGATAAACAATGATCAAAGGACGAACCAAAAACAAAGAAGTCATCCATGAAGACTTCTATAAACCTCTCCACCATATCACCAAAGATTGATATCATGCATCTCTGAAATGTGGCTGGTGCATTTTATAACCCAAATGGCATCCTCCGGTAAGCAAAGGTTCCATAGGGACAAGTGAAGGTCGTCTTCTCTTGATCCTCAGGAGCGATGGCAATCTGGTTGTACCCTGAATAACCATCCAAGAAACAGTAGTAAGCATGTCCTGCCAACCTCTCCAACATCTGATAGATGAAAGGAAGTGGAAAATGATCCTTCATTGTCGCTTCATTTAATTTCCATTAGTCAATGCACACTCTCCAGCCTGTTACTGTCCTGGTTGGTATCAATTCATTACTCTCATTCTTAATCACTATGATACCTCCTTTCTTCGGAACTACTTGCACCGGGCTCACCCATGGACTATCAGAAATAGGATAAACTATATCTGCATCTAGAAGTTTCACCACCTTCTTTCTCACCACTTCCTTCATCGAAGGATTCAATCTTCGTTGTGGTTGAACTCTAGGCTTGATATCATCCTCCATGAGTATCTTATGCATGCAAAAAGATGGAGAGATGCCTCTAATATTTGAAATAGTCCATCCAATTGCTGATCGATGTTCAAAACCCGAATCAATCGCTCTTCTTCCAAATTGCTCAACTTTGAACTGATGATTACTAGGAAGGTCTCTGAATCCCTAAGATACACATATTTGAGGTGGGAAGGTAAAGGTTTCAACTCAAGCTTCGGAGGTTCTTCCTTTCTTTCCTTTTCTTTTTCCTTCTCTTTCTCCAAATCAAATTCCTCAAATTCAAGATCTTGGTTCTCATCAATCGGCTGAAGTGCTTCCAAAAATCTAGCACATTCATTATTTGCCGACCCCTTTACCTCTACTGTTCTTGATTGTGTAATACATGCTTCTAGCGGTAGTTGTGGAGTGTTCTCTTCAATGGTCTCCGCTACTAGTTTATCCACCATATCAACATTAAAGCATGAATCCGTCTCGGATGGAAACTTCATAGCCTCAAACACATTGAACGTTACTGTTTCGTCCTGAACTCTCAACAGTAACTTTCATTCTTGCACATCTATGAGTGCTCTTTCTGTGGCCAAAAATGGTCGGCCCAAAATAAGAGGTATTTCATTATCCTCTTCCATGTCCAAAACAACAAAATCTGCCAGGACACTTTGTCCACCTTCACTAACACATCCTCTACTATACCCCTCGAATGTTTTATGGATCTATCTGCAAGTTGCAACGACATGGTCGTTGGCTTCACTTCACCAATTCCTAATCTCCTGAAAATAAAAAAAGGCATTAAATTGATGCTAGCACCTAAATCACATAATACTCGATCAAAAGTAATGTCTCCTATAATGCAAGGAATAGTAAAACTCCCTGGATCTTTGAGTTTCGGGGGTAGCTTCTTTTGGAGAATGGCGCTGCACTCCTCCGTGAGCATCACTGTTTCCTCATCTTCTAACTTCCTTTTATTTGATAAAATCTCCTTGAGAAATTTCGCATAGCTCGGCATCTGTTGCAATGCATCTGCAAAAGGAATGTTAATATGCAATTTTCTAAATATTTCAACGAACTTGGAAAACTACTTATCCTGATTCTTTTTCTTTAGTCTACGAGGAAACGGCACAGGAGGAGTGTGATGTGCCAATTCTGGCGGTATCTCGGGAATGGCAATTTCTTCTTCCTTTGTCTTTGCCTCTCTTCCCGTTTGTGTTCATCTTCCCTCGAACTGGTCGGTTTCTCTTCGGCAATGATCTTTTCATCAACTTCTTCCTCAGACTCTTCCTTTTCTTTTGGTGGACTTCCTTCTTCTCTTGATTTTTCCACCTTTTCTAAAACTGTACCACTTCTCAAAGTTATTGCATTTGCTTGCTCACGTGGGTTAGTCACTGTGTTACTCAGTAGTGAGCCCTGTGGTCTCTCATTCAACTTGTCAACCAACTGACCCACTTGTACCTCTAAGTTTCGAATGGACGCCCCCTAATTTCTAAAATTCATTCTCGCCTTATTCATAAAACCCGTGGTCTCTTGCATAAACTTCCTAAACATGTCCACCAATTTTGTCACTCGTTGCTCTCCTTGTTGGTTGTTCACCCCTGTTTGGTTATTTGGCAATGCCCTTTTGATTCCATTGATTGTTTTGCTGATCCTGTTGGTTTTGATTTCCCCAAGACAAGTTCAGGTGATTCCTTCAACCAGGATTATATGTGTTGGAGTACGGATTGTTCGGTTGCCTTTGATTTCCAGCCAAGTAGTTAACCTGCTCCGATGATGATGATGATGAAGCAAATGTGTTCCCCACTTGAAAGTCACTACTCACGTGATTACCTACACAAAATTCACAAGTTAGTTGAGGTGCTTGAATGGAATTTACCTGCATACTTCCCAACTGTTTTCGAAGTGCTGTCAGTTGGGCTGAAATGGCTGTATATTCATCAACTTCATGAAGACCCATGGATTTCTTTGGTTGCACCCTCTCATTAGGTCTTTGATAATTGTTGCTTGCCAGAACTTCAAGTAACTCGTGAGCTTCTTCCGGTGTCTTATTTTGTAGTGCTCCTCCCGATGCTGCATCCACCATAGTTTGCACATTCACTGTTAATCCATTATAAAATGTTTGGACTTGCATCCAAACTGGCAACCCATGATGTGGACACCTCTTGAATAATTCTTTGTATCTCTCCCAAGCCTCATACAATGATTCTGACTCTTCCTGAATAAATGATGTGATATCATTTCTCAGCTTTGCCGACTTTGCTGGAGGAAAGAATTTGGTCAGGAACTTCTGTGCTAAATCATTCTATGTGGTGACTATTCCTGATGGTAGTGCCAGTAACCATCCCTTAGCTTTATCCTTCAATGAAAATGGGAATAGTCTCAATCTAATGGTGTCATCTGACACTCCATTTGACTTGAAAGTATCATAAATCTCCAAAAAATTTGCAATGTGTAGATTTGGATCTTCCTTCAAATCTCCCCTGAACTGTACCGACGGCTGGATCATCTAGATGATTGCTGGCTTTATTTCGAAGTTGTTGGCTTGTACCGCTGGTCTAGTAATACTCGACCCACTGCCTTCAACTGAGGGAACTGAGAATTCCCTCAGTGTTCTATTCTCTACCATCTATACGACTATGACTTCTGGTTCAAGTATGGTTTCTTGTTCTCTTCTCTCTCTGTTTAGTCTTCTGGTGGTTCTTTCAAATTTGGGATCAACAGGAACCATTGGCTTATGTCTTGCTCTTCGCATAAACTACACAGAAAAATAGAAAGAGTGAGATCACACCAACCTAAAAGATTAACGAAAATTAAACAAACAACAATTAAGTAAAAATAACACTCCAATCTAGCTAACACAAGAAAATTTTAATGTTAACACGAAACTCAATCCCTGGCAACGACGCCAAAAACTTGATGCGTTGTAACTACAACAAGCAACGTAGCAAGTGCACTATCGCACAAAGTAATAAAATGATGAGTGAGTATCGTTCCCACAAGGATTGATTTGTTAAGCACTAACTTTCCTAAGTGTTTCTCAGGTTGGA